TCTGTATCTTCAGCACCCCTGGCCGCTAGCATTGTTTCTACGCATCATTCTGAAATTCTTGTCCGCACAACTACTCATGGGTTAAGTTGCAATATCTGGCTTTCATCACTGGTTAGTAAGGAGTGGATCCCTTGCACCTTCCTCCACTGTTGTTAAGCCCAGTGATTAAATACACTGTTGACAAACAAAATAAGAATAACAGGAAACAAGTGTTACTTGTACTAATGGAATGAAAAGGGTTTAAATATATATATCTATATTATAGATATACATATGCAGATATATATATATGTATATATAGATATATATGAATGGAGTTACACCAACAATTGGAGTGTTGTTCACTTGGATTGTACTCAACACCCCTCAGCAGTTCCCAGAGGACCTGACAGTGGTTCCATCTGGTGACCAGTCGTCCTGGGCAAACTGGGCTTTCTTTCCTTTGTTTTTTAAAGACCAAGAGGAGCATCAGTGCGAACGCACTTAGAACCATACATCACTTCGAGCCAGCTTTCAAGAGCAGAGGCATCACACTGAGAAAGCCCTGGTGCACACAGGCAGGCCTCACACCTTCCATCACGCTCGGCTTCTGCGTCTAGTTTATTGCTCCCCCAAAAGAGCACCTGATTGAGTACCACGCAGCTGCCACTTCTGCATTTGTGTGGGAGCCGCGTTCCTTTGCAACCAAACCACCTTCTGTGCCACCGAGCAGCTTTTAAATACGAGTCAGGTGAGAACAGCGTCCAGGCACTAACACAGAGCTGCCTGCTCCCCACAGTGATGCCAATTTGTTATCCTACTGCATGAAAACATCTTGGTACCATTTGTTAAAATGCTGGTTTTCAGGGCTGGGTGGGCTTTCGTTTTTTATTTATAAACAAACTTCATTACTTTAACTTTATTCAAACATAACTGAAGTTCTAGATAAATTTTTCATACCAGACAAGCCAGTGGTCTCAGGGAAGAACAACATTACAAACCATATTATGACTCTATCAAGCCAACATTAATTCTCAGTTGTTCACATGCACAAACAACTTGATTTACTGTCCAAGGGAAGGCTGCATGAAAAACCCATGTGAATAAAGCTATTCAAAATGCACAAAACACAACAACAACAAAAAAAAGCTATGGAAACAAACAGAACAAAAAAGGAATTAAGCTTGAATTGCAAACACAGAACGCAATGGTATCATGAAGGTGGTTTGGTCCAGGAGAGCTGACTGTCACCACGCACGCGTACGTGATGGCACGTGACTGTCTTCTACTGAAGTGCTTTTTGAAATGCTCATCATGATGGGTGCTACGTCATTAGTGTTTCTTCCTAATGCATTTTAAAACCACCTACATACAATTATAAAAACCAGTAACTTGGACAGTTTTAACAAAACCCTCCTAGCCAGCTGAAAGATCTGAGGATCTCCAATTGTGGTAATCAATATGTGCAAGAGAGGGGAACAGTCGCTGCACCAAAAGGTCATTGGAAACCAATTAAAAAAAAGGAAAATCTGAATAACCTAGTAAAAACTTCAAATCCTGCTGGTTTCTCAGGGCTAGAGAGAAATGCTCCCCCCAAAACCAAACTGCAGTACTTAACCACAGCGCTGTGTATTCAAGAGGCCGTGCACAACTCGAAGTAGCCAAGCACCACGTTATTCAGACACCACATCCAACACCTGCACCAACAGCTGCCCGAGCTGGAAAAAGAGAAACATTATACATCAAGTTGACGGCAAGCTCGTGTTAGTCCTGTGCGCTTGTAAACCAGTTACACGCTGTCAGAGGGCAGTTAAAATTTGATGGCTGGTCCATCAGAATCCACAGTTACGAAGCATATAAACGGGGGAAGAAAAGGGAACTGAATTTCTACTGGCACGTTAAAAGAAATCAATCCAATGTTAGTTTTGAAAAAAAAAATAAAAATAAAATCAGTGCTCTCATCAAACAGAAGCAGCAAAGATCCCAAGCTGTAAACTCGATGTAGCAGTATCGTCAGGCAGCCTGTGACAGGTTTTTTTCCACTGTTTTTTTGGTCAAAGAAGCAATGCTACTACTGTACCAGCCAATTCATTTGTAGGTGCCGATTGAGCCAAATGTCTTTTTGGTGCTTGTGGCATCTGAGGAAAAAACCTGGCAGGAATGACTTAGCCCATTCGACAGGACAAACAGAAAGACCATTCCCTTTACTCTAGTAATTTTTCTGGACCTTCAAACACTGTAAATAATTAATTCCTGTAACAGATTTCGTCAACCACTCGTAATGTGAAGTCCTCGTATCAGGTCAGCTATGTCTCTGCTCATCTAAACACACATTTTGTTGGTGACCCGAGGACTGCCATGACAGCGCATTAAAAAGCCTTTGTCGTTCCTTAAAGAACGGTCACCCCAAGTCCGACAACTCTTGGATTTCTCCTCACAATAATGAATCTGAACCAAAAAAATGGGAGAAACTGCTTGGAATTGAGGCAAATATTCAGAAGTGACCTTTTGTGACCGGCAGTGACTGTTTCCCTCCAGAACCTAGAGCATGTGGTATATGGAGTGAGAGGTTACCAGTATCAACGGCATTTATTGGCTGCTGAGAAATGTGAGATGTACTTTTTTTATATACACACATATAAAAAAATAAGAGTGAGGTAGATAAATGTTTGAGAAAAAAAAATCAAAAACTGTCCCCGTCATACTCAAAAACCCTTATCTCAGTATTTAAATTTATTATGGGGCATCTCTACAGTGATTTAAACTGATATCACAAAAATAAATAAAAAATCCTACATAGAATACCTTCTTAATTAACTTTTTTGTCTTTTTCATTTTTAAAGGGGAAAAATAACTATGGGACAGAGGCAAGAGAAGATAATGGGACCTAAACTACACAAGCAAAAAGCACTACAAACTTCTTAAAATCTCCAGTCAAAACTAGCAATCAGTATATTTTAATTCTTTGTTCTTACTCAAAAGATTTGAACATTTCCATCCCAGAACCACCTCTTCACTGCCATCATTTGGTTGGATCAGTGCTAAACAAAGGCTTAGATGCTGTAACTAAGGTAAGATGAGCAACTGCTACGACTCGGTTGTAGACTTTCTGATGGCCCCCTCCTTCCCCTTCACCAAGGCTTCTGCAACTGAACAAACAAGCTTCCTCATGCCCTTTTGTTCTGAAGTTTGGTCTACGATTTAAGCAACAAGCTTGTACTTGTACAGGTTTCCATAGCTGCCAACGCTTAACCGTTTGCTAGCCAAGCCACTGGCCCCAGCTACACGCTTTCCACCCAGCCCCAAGGAAATGGCCTGCTGGGTTTGGTTTGGTTCGGGTTTGTTGTTATTTCATTTCTTTTTTTTTTTTTTAACCAAGGCTGCAAAGTGCAGCCTGGGGTGCCCTCCATGAGGGCTTCCTCATTGGGAAGGCAAAGAGCTGGAGTTTGTTGGAGCCAGGTGGTCAATGGCCACCCGAAATGCCTGGCATCACCAGCTGCAACTGCTAGAGCTCTTGTTCACAGGGTAGAAGGGTTCAAATAGTCATTTTAAAAATCAGTGACCCAAAAGCCTGGTGTCTGCTGTTGTACCCAACAAATGAAAACCAAAAAAAAAAAATACATATATGTGTGTCTGCGTGGGGAGTGTGTGTGGGGATGGGTGGGTGGATGTGCGCCACAACCAAAACAAGCGGGGAGGGAAGGAGGGGTAGGACCCTTGTACAACAATGAATATAAACACTGAACAAGAATGTACTAAATATTTAACCTTTTTTTTTTTTCTGACCTGAGTTTGTATCATGCCTTGCACTGTAAGAGACTCGCATGCTGTCTGGGCAGAGGTTAGTGGGAAGGAAGGAAAACCAGGGTTTAAAAACACCACACCCCAGCACAGTGGTACCGTGCAGGGTGTCCCTTCTTTCTCCATGTCCCCCTCAAAAGCCCTGTAGCCCACACAGCCAAGATGTTGTAAAACAACTAATGGGAAAAAATAAAAAAAAAAAAAGAGGAAATGTATTTATAAAAAGGCATTAAACAGTTCATGGCAAATCATATGAAAGGTATCAGTTACTGGGAAGGAGGAAGTAAAAGTTACACACTATAGTACAAAGCATAAGAAAATCTGTTGAAGTGGGAGGGAAGGGAAGGAGGGCAGACCTGAAGGTTTTCATAGATTAAATCCACAAAGATAAAGAACAAAAAAAATAGCAGCTTTTTTCTGTACAGACATATAGATGAGTATCTGAACCGTAAAAAAGTTATAAAAGTGACACAAAAGACAATGTGTATGCAAATGATCCATGGTCTAACATAGAACTGCAAGACCCTTCGAGAAGTCTTAATAATAAAGAGAAAAGGTCAACAAAGCATCATATACTTGAATCCGGTTACTGCTTTTTTTTGTCTTCTCCAATTTGTGTTTCTAGGTGTATTTTCCTTGCAAGCCTGTGAAGGAAGGCAGGCTGCAACGATGGAGATCTCTGCCGGTTATTTTCGTGTTTTTCGTGTTTCATTTTTGGCGTGCGGTTGACTTTTTTTGTACGAAATGCACGTGTTATTTAGCTCACCACTGCCAGTTTTGTCCAGAATTCATTGGGATGGGGAGAGGGCTGGAGGTTTCTTTACCCCATCCCTTTTATCTTCTCCATCACAAAAAAAAGAAATAATCACATTTTGTCCAGTTTTGAAAAAAGATCTAGACAATTTGATTTGATTTTTTTTAAATACCAGTGTATGATTGAATAGAACATATTGGTCAGGATCTCATTTAATCAGAGCAGTTGATTACTGTGCTCCTTCCATGCCTACAAAAAAAAACAAAAACAAAAACAAAAAACAGAGTTCAGTTTTTTGGCAAAATTTGGCAGCGTTGAAAATGGTAACAACCTTGAACGAATGATGGCCCTTTTTTATTTTTTTACGTGTTCCTAAAAAGATTAAAGAGCAACATTAAAAATCCAGTCTTTTTTAATTTTTTTGTGGTTTTTTTTTGTTTGTTTTTTTTTGTTTGTTTGTTTTTTTATAAAGACCTACAGTGTTAGGCAGGTGCCTGCAAGGGTATCGGGGAGCCACCTGGCCTGCGATATCTTTGATCTGATAAAAGTGCTGTACGGTTGAACTTGCACGCAGATATGTTTCCCATTATGAAGCAAAGAGAGACAGAAAGAGAGAGAGAGAAGAGAGAGGAAAGAGGAGAGAGAGAGAGACATCAGATCTCAAGTTTTCTGTTGCTATTAAGTGTTAACATTAGAGTTTTAAAAGGCCAACTGTGTGCCCCATGAATGGAGTCCTGTACTGAAACAAACATCTGCTTGCATATTGAAAAAAGAAAAAAATACGATAACTTGTTTACTGAAAAAAGGGTTCTCCCAAGTGCAGCTATGGCAGTTCTGAAGATCCACTGAGGTACAGTAGGCTTTTGAATATATTGTAATTTTCTGTTTGTTTTTCTTCCCCCAATGCGTGTGTTTCTCTGTGTTTCATTTCTGTGAGACTCTGGTTCCAAGGATCAGCAGGCCGAAGACTGGGGCAGCGGTAAGGCCCTCTCGTTCTTGCGTCCCCCGTTCATGTGTGCGTACGGCTGTCTCTCCTCGAAGCTGGCCCGAAGGACCACCACGCCCGGGCCGTTCTCGGCTTTGTGTCCTGAGTGCTTGTCAGTGGGTTGGAGGGTGGAGGAGGGATCTAAAGGAATGCTCTCCATGTTTTCAGTCTCCAGGTCAAGCTCCTCTGTGTCCGGAGGCTTGTTCTCTTCACTGTAGAAGAAGGAGACCTCTTTGAATGCTGGATCCAGCTCGTCTTTGATGCTACCAATGATCTCCAGGAAGGAGGGCCGCATTTTCGGATTGTACTGCCAGCACATGCGCATCAGTTCAAACCTGGACAGGAAACACAGCAAAGCCATTTACTGAGGTGTTTCATGAACCCCGGCTGGAGCCCAACCAACCGTGACCAAATCAGACCTCGTGTCTGAGAAAATCGTTCAATTCTGATGGAAGACGAAGTGACAGAATTTTTACAGGCTGAGATCCCCGTGTCACATCTCGACCTCCTTTCTAAGCACTGATTTACTCCTATTGCTCCTATCTCAGCCTTCTCCATTCCCTTCCACACGCTCGCCCATACAACACTCCAGTGGAGAGCTGACATCCAGAAGCATTTCGTACTTTCATTCTGACTTTATATTACTCTCTTTTCTCCAAAATATCCTGTGCTTACTCAATCATACAGCTACGTGACCGTGCCTCTTGGATTGTCTTTCTCAACCAACCAATCCCCACCGTATCAATAGTGTCTTGGACAAAATTAAAAGAAGAAATACACACAAGGTAAAGCACTGCTTTTTTTCCCCTGAAAGAACAAAATCACATTAAAATTAACTGTAATCCCCAAAAGACATTCACCAATCTCAAAGACTTTCTCTAATCTTCTATTTTAAAATTATGTTATTTTCATTTACGGCCAGGGATGCATTAACATTTTACTGAGTGTGAGATCATCCGTTTAAGCACATCCATGATTAGATCTGTACGATGTCCCATGCCGGCAAAACAAAACCACAAAATGAAACAATAATACACACATAATGAAAACAGCATTTTCATGACACAGCAAAATTGGATATTCCTGAGAGATTGCCCTGAGCTTTAAACACAACATGAGAAAGGATTTCACCATCTGTGAAGGTGGAATAGGGATGTCTTCTGTTAACACAGCACAAGTAATGGGACAAATTTAAATAAGAAAAGGAAGATTAACATTAATTCTTCGAGCCAATCCTCTGTGTACACAGCACTCAGAGGAACGTGCTGTGTGTAGGAAGTCACCACTGGCCAAAACTACTACTACTCTGTGCTAGAATAAGAATGGAGCTCAAAAAAAACCACCAAAGAAAACTCATTCAGCTGAGGCAATGCACTGGAGAACCCTCCCCATCTGTGACTTACGTCCCAGCACTGCAACCCGCAGTCCCAGTACGACACCCGGCAGCCTGGTCCAGCGGCCACCCTGGGATCATTTCCCTACCTATGCCAGCCTTACGTGTAAGGTCAGCCAGCCCACCAACCTTTTGGTTTTGATTCTACAAAACACCACCACCAATTTCCTAACTTCCACAGATTTTCAGAAAGCAAGGAAGAAATTCTACTTTATGCTTCAATTCACTCTCACTGCCTTTTGCCCCCGCAGCAGTTAACTAGATCTCTGCAGCAGGGTGTGCAATGATTGTCTTTTTAATTAAAGAGACAAAACCAAGCAAAAATTCACTTGTTTTTGAATAGCACCGGTGTCCATCCCAGTGCAATGTCTTAAAGTCTCCAGAGCCCCTGCTCTAGAACAAACCTTTCCAGAGGACTGACCCAGCTGGAAAACCCTGGACTCTGAAGGCCGTTGCTGTGCATGGCTGCACACAGCGGGGTCTGGGCAGTCTGGGGGCTCTGGCCTGAAACAAAACCAAAGAAAAGGAACTCCCTTCCCCAGAACCTCACTCCTTGGGAAATACTGTTGCATTGCTTCACAGGGTGCACTGTGTTCTCAGCAGACTAGAACCAGCAAAGAGAGGGAAAGCTGCTGTGTTTGGGATGCAAACACTGCCAAGAGTGCTTCAACCAAAACAAAAGTGATCTCAGCTAAAGTGCATTTGAAGTCACAAATATTCCTGTTAGAACGTTGCTGGCACAACTCTGCTTGAACAAAAGTCAACCACCTGAGCACGGCCTTGTGACACCCAAAAAGAAGCTGGCAAAACCAGTCCGTGCTGGGAGAACTCCCTGGGTACTCAATGCTGTATTGCAACAGGCACGTAGACACATAAACACTGTTAAACTATTGCTTGTTTTTGAGTCTTTAAAAAGCCTTTCATAATGAAAGTGAAGCCAAACTATAAAACTGCACTATACCCTCACCCACAAAGGAGGAGGAAAGCTTGAGACATAAATACATAAAATCCATTTCTGTTACTTCATTGCTGTTTCCTTTCCAGCTGACTGCTGCGTCCCTGAATAGAAGCGTGAGCTGGAGCCAAGAACACTGGATACTCGCTGGCGCTGTGCCCCGAGGCCTAAGGGCAATGCTAAGGAGATACCACAAGCAGTGGAGTAATGCATGTGACATCAGCACAAACAAGGACATGTGATGTTTCTTTTAAGCCATTCCAGATTTAAAAACCCTACAGAGTTCCCATAAAAGGATTTTTTTTTCCTTTTTAACTCTGCGGGTTCAAAGACCTTGCTTACATTATCTTAAACAAAAAAAAAATCCCTTTCCAGCAGACAATGGGAGAATTTACAGGCTGTTAATGCAACCTGAACAGTTTTACTGAATTATGTTTCTGAATGGTAGTAAGCAAGCTCAAGGCAGTTGGAGGCATTCTCACGAGACAGAGGAATACCCAGTGTCCGTCTCATGCATCTTTTGCCCAAAAACTGAGCTAAAACAGAGTTACTTTTGCACCGAGACAGTAAAAAAGAAAAGAAAATGGAAAATTACTATAGAAGCTGTGTTCCATTTGAGTGTGCGTTTGTGCTTTGCATCAGACTGGATTTGGTGGGGAAAAGCGAAAGGACCTCTCCTACGCTGCTGTCTCCACACGCAGACGTTACCTCTGCACCGCAGACCCTGCTTTCTACCCGAGCACTCGCCAGGAACAAAGGGAAAATCAGCAATGCGTAAATAGTCTAGTCATCTCCGATACATGTGGGGGAAGCAATTCTGCTTCAAAAACAGAGTGGAATTCCAGCCTCCACAACTTTTAAAAGCCCCATGGGAACACACTGTCTGAGCGCTTCAGCTGTAGCGAACCTCCTTGCCACGCAGCCATCACCTGATGAACACTGCCACAACAATGGGAGTACATAAAAACATCACTTATTACACAGGAAGAGGAGAAAAACAGCAAAGCTTCTCCTGGCACCGTCTCATTGAACCATCTGTCTTATTGCATGGGTCTGTCTGTAAAACCATGCAAACTATGCCAAGAGGGTGTAGCATAAACAGAGCCGAGTCTCGTTTCACCCTGTGTGACAGTAAAAAGCCTCCAGAAACGCTGTCCCCTTTGTGCTTCGCCCTTTTGCAGGGGTTTACCACCTCTCTGAACCACACGACGACCACGTTGTAAAATCCCCCTTTGTGCAAGCATCCCACACAACCAAACTGCAGGACAGAACCTCTCCCGTTCAAGTGTCCTTGGTCTCTCATCACCTAAAGGTCACCGCCTCGCTGCTACTGGGGGATAGCAAAGCACAGCCACCAACGAGCGTTGCTTGCATTGCAGCCTCAGCAGAGATGGGAACGGCCAAGACTGCTCGCACCACGTAGCATTCGCATGGGGGGGCAATGAGAGGCCCTTAGGAAAAGCCCTGCACTGTGGCTGGGGCATGCACGGCTGTGTCTACACTCACATAATCGGCAAGGTTAAAAATAGCAGATTTGGGGACAGTTGCAGCAAGATTCTTCTCTCTATCCTCATCCCCAGCAGCCCACCTCCTCCACCTGTTCTGGAGGGTTGTGCACGTCCGTACACTCCCGTCTCACTACAGGAAGGTACGTTTGTGTTCTGCCCATCATTTCAGTTGTTTCCATGTCAAACTAATTTGAAGAAAAAAGTACCTCTGCATTTGTAGCCTACCACATGAGATATATAGAAATGCAATTCCTGGTTAATACTGTGAGTTACTTCTAAGTATCACAGACCAGTCAGCCTCCACCAGTGGGAATCTGTGCTGTCTAAAAAACACCTTCTATGGGCACCAACACACCAAGAATCCTGTATTTAGACAGAGTCTTTTAGAAACCTCCACAGAACGATAACCTCCTAGCTTACAAAGGGTTTCATAGAGTGCATCCAAACGCAGTCGCCTGAAACGTGCTGGGGATGCATGGCAAGATCCTTATGCAATTTCAGGGCTCTTTGCAACTATTTACAAGCACTCTCCTGTCCATTCAATAATTTTCTTATGCCATCAGGTGCTGAGGAGCCCTTATCCGAGCTGGAGAGGAGAGGAACCCTGCCTACAACCAGGTCTCTGCGCCCACCAGCAGCAACGTGAGGTTCAAGACTGGCAGCAGTTGTCAGGTTAGTGAGTGTTATACAGCATCTTTACAGCATCTTGGGCAAATGGGATGGAAGACAGGGAAAGAAGCAAAAATATTCATGAAAAAAAAGCCTCACAGTAACACAAAATTGGCTCCTTGGATGCCAAATGCATGTGTGTGGAAAAAAGGTGAAGATTATTCCTGGAGCTCTCTACTGTTGCTCCTATAGCAGCCTGTTTGAATTCCTCCAGACCCAGGTCTAATACAGAGACAAAACAAGCTGAAAGGGAGCTCAAGCAAGTCACAATAAGCTTCTAAGGTTAATACATTCAATTCCCTTCTCCCCTGCATTTTGGACAGTCAGGATGTTTTATACACAACTGTACCACCAAAAAAAAAACCACCAACAACAACAAAACCCCAAACAAACATGACATGACTAAACTGGATGTGCCTTAGTTCAGCCCTGTTCTTTTTTCTGATGGAAAGAAGCCCTAAATTCAAAAAGAAAATTCCTAAAGTCAAAGGAAGATTTTTTTTTTTTTATTCTGCACCTCTGCAATGCCACGCTTTAAGTCTTGGTGGCCACAACCAATGTGTGAACAGCTTCTTCATTAAAATCAGCACTAAAAATGCCTTTGCTGTTACACACTGGTGCCAATATTTGCTCTGCCAGACATAAACCCAATTCTCCCAGCTCACAGTTACCCCCAAAGTGGCTTCACCGAGCAAGCAGAGAAGCATCTGAGGAGGAGGAGGGAGAAGGGGCTGGGTGGGCTGCACTAAAGGCAGCTTCTTGCTGTGACTCCCCTCTCGTGCCCCTCTCCATCCCACACACGCCCCAGGGTAATGGGGAATTTCTAACACTGGATCTGTTGCTGGAGATGTTCTCACTGTAAAGGTATTTTTTTTCCTAAGGACTGGTGGAGCTGACCCCTTCACACACCCTGTTCTCCCCCCATTTCTGCCTACTCCTCCCCTCCATTACACTGCTCAGACCGTGTTAAACAATCTCCAGTCAATCCGACTGCCAGAAATTCTCCACAGCATCGTGGAAGGGAAAGAATGTGAAACTGAGGACTCACATGGCAGCTACACCTCCCCCTGCATATACCTCCCACCCCCCTCAAACAACAGAACAACACTGCCCGTCATCTGAAACCAGAGCCAGGCTCCAGCCAAAAAAGCTCTTTTCCTAAGAATCCCAAGCAGCTGAGGCCCTTAAGTGATTGTATCCCTTCTGTGGGCCTCCAACAAATTTCAATAACTGCAAGATGCAGTATTTCCTTCCCAAAAGCCGGTTTGGGAAGTATATCAAAGTAATACAGTCTGAACAACTGAAACTGTTGTTTCAAAAAAGCCAGCAGAGGTATTTCAACAATGTAAAGCTAAAAACTGAAGCCTGCTGCACTGCACACCCTCCTCTACTGCAAGGCTTTGTACTGAATTTTAGGGATAGGCGAAGGGGGTTTTTGTGTGCTTCTGTGTGTGCTTACAGGAAAGGGAACTGTCAGGAGCGGAGATCTGTTTATCTCAGTGTGATGAGCACTGTGACCGAAATAGCAGACCCAACGCTGCTTCAGACAAAGGAGCCATACATTCAGTTATTTGGATGCTGAACTAAAAAGTTCAATTCTGTGGAGTTTATGCACAGTACATTTCAGCTCATCCTAAGCTTTTTTTTGTCCTTACACACAACAGAATTACTTTAAGCAGAAGAGACAAGATGTGGGCACAAAGTCTTCTGCTGTAGCAAATGTCACTTATGAGCTTTTATTAAATCTAAATTTACTCAGTAATGCAAAGATCGGGTTTGTTTCCTTAACAGAGGAGAGAGCCCAAAGTGAGATTGTGGCCACAAACGAAGTTGTTTTCTACTCTGTCAAACTACTACAAAAGACAGGATGGACAAAGACTGTTCAAAAGCAGCACCTCACATCACTGTCACTCTTTAATGACCCTTTCTGTGGCAGATAGGGCAGAAGGGAACACTGAAGGGATCAGGAGGAATAAACTGCCCTCTGAGGACACTGGTAACTGTTGACACTTACAGCATATCGGGACAGTTGTCTGGTTTCTCCAGCAGACCTCCTTCCATCACGAAGCGCAGCACTTGTTCATTGGTCATGCCTTGGTATGGCTGCTCTGCTAGCGTTGCGATCTCCCACAGTACAACACCAAAAGACCTGGAAAACAAGCCAGAACTTCAGAAAGCTGAGCAATCTTTACAAGGAATTTTTCTTAGGCTATGCTGAGCAAGTAGATGTCCATGGGTACTTTTTTTTTTACAAAAAAACCCCAATTTCTCAAAAAGTATGCAGCTGTGGTGGTCGCCACATCACCTATAGCATCAGAGGCTGTTGACTTCAAACCTCTCTAGTCAATGGAGAGAAACAGGCTCCCAGTTCTGACTGACTCTTCAGAATGGTCTCTGTAAGAAAAGGCTGGTAATACCACATCTCCATTTTTCATTGCATCATCTCATTCAGCAGGTCCAACATTCCTCGGTTATGTACAGTTCAATCAGTAACAAAGCTGCCACAAGCTCACTGCATTGGCCAGCAGCTTCTGAACTCAGAGGAGATGCAAGCTGTGAGCTTGCCTGGGGAATCAGCTCGCGTCTCAACTCCTTTTCCTATGGCTTTGAGTTCAGACTTCAGGCGCACTGGAAGGTGGGAAGAACAGTGGAGAGGGGGAAGGAAAGATGCAGGCAAGGAAAAATAAATAAAAATTCTGCTGCTATCTCTGCACTTCCTGTACAGAGGACCTCGGGCTGGATAGACACCTGATCATTAAAGTCTGAACAAGGGTCTGGGTACGGCTGGGTGTGGGTTATTTAAAGTGAGCTCCACAAGTGTTACCCTCCCCCTCCGCCGCAGAGATAGCACGAAAAAAATCCGTGCATTTAAAAAAGGTAAACTCAAAATCTTCATGTAACGTATCTCGGGTACTCCTAAGAGCAGCTGACAAGGCAATAATGCAGAACTGTAAGCTCTCATTCCAGCACAAGCTGCTTTTCATCACAAATACCTGAGTCACACAAATCCGATTTAAAAGCTGCATTTTTCCCTTAGCGCTCCAGCAAGCCGAGAGCCGGGCAGCAAACGCGCACCACCACACCAGTGCACCTCATCTGCCTTCCCACTAGAAGCAGGCAAACCAGCCAACCTCCGCTCCCCAGGCACAACAACGCTTCTCAGGTAATGCTTCCCATTTATCCCTCTGCTTTGGTTTCTGCCCCGGTCCAAGTCAAAGGTGCAAAGTAAGGATCACAACATAGAGCAGCAAACAACAAAGGCAAGTTTGCAAAAACACACGGAAGAAATGTGAATGCTTTCCCAAGAGAAACTCAGTTCCCCCTCTTGCAGTCTGCATGTATGTAACCGTCTCAAAACAGAGCTTCTAGCTCCTTCCAACTCACGACAAAGGACAGCAGAAGAGAAAAAAGAAGTCTGTCTAATAATAGAAATTGATTACTGACGAAGAAAGATAAGCATAGTTATGCAATTGGGTAGTTTAGACGTAAGTATCGACGCTTTCTAAAAATACCTCCATTTAAAATGACTTTATTGAGCAGACGTGGCTCAAATTGTCTGCCCTGCATTGAAGAGTCATCTACTTTTAGAGCTGCTGGGCAAAGGAAGAAAATCTAGATGCTGGCTTGTCTTCTGCGGCTAAAATGCTGAGTCAAGCTTAGAGAAAAACAGCGTGGTTTCAATAGGGTATTGTTGTGAAAACAGGAGTCCAGTATTATTAGCTGGTTATGGCAGAGTGGTTTTATCTTTCGGTTATCCACTGTATCTAAAATGGTTTGCATCTGGAGCCAGAAGCCACAAACAGACTTGCAATTGTTTGCCTTTCAGGGGAGGGAGGGACAGAGGGGTCAACTCAACATTTTGGTGCCTTTGAAGCTACTTTGATCACTGCAGGAATAATGAGAAGAAGTCTTGCACACCTCCCAGCCGTATTATCATAACAAATACGCTTATGTTGCTCCTTCAAGGCAACCACCAGCTCTGAAAGAACACAAGATGCTGCAGCGTTATTTATAGAAATACACCCTCACCCTGAACACTCTTGCATTCGTTGTAAGATGTTCTCCTTCCCTAACGACAACAAAACCAGTCTTGTCTAATTACCTCATTCTGCAGTCTGAAGAGCAGTAAAAGAATGAATTGCTAAAACAAAACTCCACCCTTCAAAACCTCCAGACGCTCTTTTGCAGTTTGCCATTTCACCTTACAGCTTATAAATCTTGGACTCCAACCACTCGCACAGCTTTGTCTTTTTGACATTTTGGCTTCTAAAACTGATCTCGAAGAACACGGAACCAGATGTCACAACACCCGACCAAAAAGGCAGGAAAAACAATCTCAATGGTTTTTTACTGTCTGATGAAAATAAATGGCCCCCAAACCAGCCAAGCTACATCGTTGCCATGAAGCAACTTCAAAATCTGAACTCATACAAGGAGTCAGGTAACTTTTCCTGGCACGAAGAGCCCTTCGATGCACAGTGCCTGTTCTGAACGGTACTGAGAAGTAAACCAGAATGATCCATTTCGCCATGAGCAGATCGAGTAAGCAGACACTGCTTCACGACAGCGACAAGTCGAGCTCTGCTACATTTGGAATTCAGACTGACGTTTCTGAATCTACAGCTGTGGACACACGTGGCAAGCACAAACGTATACGTGTTCTGAACAAACAATACCTCGTGTTGAACCGGTATTTTGGTACCTCAAGACAGTTACACCTCTGTGAGCTCTATTTCAGAGTAAGTCATTTTTAACAATTATGATGACAAACCACTCCAAGGAGAAGCTGTCTGAAATACTGATGAGAGCTGCAGAGCTCTCCATAACACAATTTTTTCCTATGTTTTCAAGTAAAAATCTGACAGATTTTACTCCTCTCTCTCAAATTTTCCAACCTTATCAGCTACTTTCCTTCATGTGACTTCTGGCGAGGATATTTCTCTCGGACTGCCCCGCTGATAAACTACAATATTGTTTGCCCAGCCCTGCGTCAGACTGAACGACTGAGGAATGCCAAATCGTACTGACGTTAAAGGGAGGACCCACGTACTTCCTGCAGCAACTCGAGCACTGATTTACCTCTGATGCTTAATTTGGCGTCACACCTGCGGGTTTGGTCCTTTGTCTGGAATTTGAGTTGTGCTCAAACAATAATGTCACTTAACAGTTATACGTTACAAAGAGCGTATGGAGCAAGCGCAGTGCGTCACCAAAGCCGACACCTGATCGGCCGCAGCCGGCTTTTGATACAGTGGCTGGAGATGACGGCTGGACTTACAAGTTCCTGTTGTGTGGTAAGAACAGGCAGGTCAGCCAGCTCATACTCCAGCCTTGTTCACTTCTACATCTGGGGATTTTCTAGTGATATATTCCAAATTTCTGTCTGCTTTCTGAAGCCATTACATGTCCCAGAATTCTTTTACTGTGAAGGGACTGCCAAAAGCATGCCTGGGCTGTTCAGTTAGATAAATGGCTGATACAGGGCTTCTCCTTCAACTCAAAGTGGTTAGTTTCATCTGTTTCCAAGTCTGAGGGTTACTGGATTCATAAATAAGTTACAAGTCATATGCAAAAAAAAATTTAAGCAGCATTCTGGTGCTTTGCTTTTTCACTTGCTATGTAATTCCTCTTAGGAACCTTTCACTTGAAGCTGGTGCTGTGGACTGCAGTCCACTGACTCCAAAAATCCTCAAGCTGTTCAAAGAAGATGCAGTTTACTACTAAAATACCATTCCTACCGACTCCTAGACATTTGGAGGCAATCAGCTGCCAATTCTGTAACAGATCAGCAGTAAAAACATCTTGTTAGGAAGGCAGAGAAACCATAAAAGACAGAGTAGAGGTTTTGCCAGTACACGTTCATCTTCTGCCAAGCCCTCCCTACCTATCTGCAAAAGTTTGGGGGGTGTGTGTGGGAAACTGTTCCAGAGTATTATTTCTTCTACAAGTATATTGTGAAATTTCCCAAATGCCTCTATTAATAACTTCACAGATACAGCAACTCGGCAATGTGCTTTTAAAGAAAATCTCATTTCTGCATCTTGTGGTATATAAAACAAGCAAACCAAGCTCCAAATGGAGATGGATATACACAAGGGAGAACTCCCCCAAAAAAACCTGCCAGTGTACACAAACCGTCTGCGGGAAAGTAGAGTTATTTACACAGAAGGTTTTGATAGAAAAGCAGGTCAACACTGTGAACCTTTCTATATTCTTGGCAACTTTTAACGCATTTCTTGAAGGAGGGCAATTTGAAAAATGACAACTTGCTCTTCCAGGTGAGGGTAACGTTTTTTCATTGCACAACTGATTTTTACAACCCACAGCAGGAAACATGCTACCACCTCCAGGTTTGGAAATCCATTTAATTCTGCTCCCAGAGCAGAATTTAACCTCGTGAGTTCTTGATTTTGCAATGGAATTATGAAATATAAAGCAGAACGCTTCACAGTGGAAAAAGAGTTATCTTTGAAGAGACAGGAGGAGTATGCTTAGTGAAGCCTACTAAAACAAGAAAGAGGCTAGAAAGAAGAGGGGCTGAAGAGTGTTTCAGAGCCCCTTTTTTGTTACCAGACATCGGAGTGCGTTGTGAAGACTCCATCTTTCAGTGATTCTGGGGACATCCAGCGGACAGGCAGCAAACCCTTCCCTCCTTTACGATAATAATCTGTCTCGTAGATATCTCTTGTCATGCCAAAATCTAGAAGGTATAAACGTTTGGAGTTTGCATGATAAAATTATGAACATTTCCCCTTACACAAGTCACTGTAGCCAGCAGAGAATCAGTTTGGTGCAAGGAATCTGCAATCTATTACCACAACACTTTATTTGCAGGCATTTTACCTGCCGCCTGGGGCTGGTTAGCTTCCCTCCCAGCAAAACCAAGAGAGGTTTTTACCTCTGACTTCAGTGGGTGCGAAGTCTGAATGACTTAAATATACTAGTATGAAGAGTTTCAGGATTTATGCTCAAGCCTTGCAGTACACTAAGTCTTCTGAAGGTCATGTAATTCATTAATCTGTTCTCAAATGCAATGATTTTCTTTTCTCTCTAAAGAATGTAAAGAACTCCTTTAGCACTTGATACTATTGTCTTTAATTAAACAATCTCACATGTCGAGGGAAATGCGTGTCATTATTTTTCCTCTTTCCAAAGGTAATTTCCAGTGCCTGTATAATATTCCATCTCAAATGCTACAGAGGATTAGGCTATTCATTTATGACTAACACAGACCAGTATTAAAAACACACTTTGGGTTATACACATGTCCTTAGCTGTAAATACGTAGGCGTTTGCAAGACTTGGATCTAACAGTGCTCATCTCCTGACTGTAGCTCTGACTTATGCCAGGGTTTTTTTTGTTCTGTACAATCGGCTTGACGCACACAAAACTGCTGGGTGTTGGACCAGCCTATGTAAACCAGTAACTACGTTTGCAGACACTAACCAAAAAGTTATTAAATCAGGTGGCATAAAGTCTCTTACTAATATTAAATTCTGATATATTCTGCTAATACAGCAGATCTAGGGCAAAATCCACTTTATCAAAGGACCTGTAGCTGCCCCTTTTTTACTGGGAAAAGTGGAATGAAAAGAGGACAGAATTCCTCCAGTTCTCACAGTGGTTATTGCTACTCCATGGATGTCACCATGACCACTCCATGGATGTCACCATTACCAGTCCATGAATCAACCACTGATCCCTCTCATTCCCTGCCTGCTGAGGACACTGGTTCCCTCAATGGTTATGACTAAAAAGCCCAGCTGTGCAGCTGCTCCATCACTCCCACACACCAGGGTGATTTTATCCTGGCTGAACGAAAAAATTCTTTAAAAAACGTAATGCAAGTATGAAACAGATATACATTGAGTATAGGACAGTGCAGCATAAAGCTTTTCCTCTGAGATCCTAACAGTCTGAATTGAAGCATTCCAGTCAACATGCTCCCAAACTGTTTCCACACAAAGGGATTTTCAATACTGCACATAAATGAGAGCTGTGCAGCGTATTTCACGGAATGCTTTGGGGGTAACCATGCACCGTGTTAAAGGGAAGAAATGCACCACCTTCAGTTCAAAGAATTGTAAAATACTGGGGGAGGAGGAGTGAGAAAACTGGAATGGGAAGGATTTACACTGACTTCTTCCAAACCTGCAGAAAATGCACAAAATCCCCCAAAGATCTTATTTCCTAATTAACTGACTCAAAATGAAATCATTTTTATTTTCTCCCAAATGACAGGATTACTTACACAAATTATCAGAATTAAGTTCAGAGAAAAAGAATGAGTTTCCTACAGCAGAAGGCTGTTGCTATACATGTTATTTTAATATGCACAACTCAAAAACAGCCAAAAGCTTAAAATCAGCCTCTCTGGAGAGGAGTCTGAAAAAACTCATCTGACACTATTTTGGAGGGATGGTGAAGGGAAAAAAAAAGCAGTGCTCTAAGAGCAGAGCCGAGGAAAAGTCATTCTGTTGTCTGGAAAGCAGAACTCCAGTTCAGACTGGAAAGCACCCAGCTGAAGTCAGGCCTTACATTCCACTTCCAAATCAGATACGCTTTAAAATAACCCTAAATTTCTCCTTCTTGACTCAGTAAACAGGTGGAATTATTTTTGTGCATTAACAGAAAAGCGAATGACACACCAGTGGTAACTACACCATCCGCCCAGATGTCTGCAGCATCTGCACCTGGAATCACTGCTCCACAAGCTCTTTCTAAACCCAAATGCTATACTATTTTCTCACTGGAACAACAGCAAGTAGAGATATTCCAAGAGTTTCAACTCAATCTTGACTGCTCACAGGTCTTAAATCACAGCAGGCCTTCGTAAGGAACACACTTCATTCTGCAGAAATTTGAACGACGACTAAGTTTCAAAAGGTCTTTCAAACAGCTTTCAAAAAATTAAAATGCCTTCCAAGATGCTGAATTTTCAGGATGATGTTTTTCATTTGTGTGAAAGTCAAGAAAGCCCACCTCCAATTTTCACGGTGAAGTCTTCTGCCACCATGCAGTTTCTCGCAGCAAGGTCTCTGTGAACAAACTTGTTGGCGTTGAGGTATGCCATCCCATCAGCAATCTCCCCTGCCATCTGAATCATCTTCTTCAGAGTTGGAGGTGACTGGCCAGGATTACTCTGAGCAGGATTAAGATGATAAAACATGTAAGGGGCGGGATAAAAGTAACTATTTCTACATCAAACTGTAAAATACTATTTTTTAATTATTTTTTTCCCCAAAAAATAAATATCACATTATCACAATTCAGCCTGACATGATCCAGGGTAAACAGAAACTCATGATTATGTACACCACAGCATCTGCTTAGTGGGACAACAGTCCATATCAACCTGGGTTACAAACAGAACTCCCACGTAGCTCTTTTAGGCCATTCTGGTTTAGGAAATACAAGCCAGAAGGACTTTTTGGTATAAGGATGTTATCTTACACCTATGAAGTTTAAATGTCCATCCTCCTAGCACACAAGTTTGGAGATACAAAGCTGAAAGCTAATTTTAGAGATTTCTACTGTTTTCACAAAAAAACCAGATGATGTTAAATGATTTCATTTCCTGTTTCCCATAACCAGATGTCTCTTGAGTTACTTCTATTTGTAAACAGAAGAAAAGCTTCAGTGACAATTTCTTCTGAAGCAAATTCATTCCTTAGCATCCATGGATATATAGCTTCTGCCACTCTCAATCTCGTGGATGAAGGAGTTTGGGTATTTACACGCTATCAGTTAAGTCCCATCATCCCTTACCAGTATGGATTTGCCTAAGATTTACATCCCTTGGATAATCATCACTGACACAGTAGCCAAAACCAGAGCCTCATATACTGAATCCTACCAATGACAAAGACCCTAAAGTACACAGATGAAGTCACTGAACTTTATCACATCCCCATCCAGAGATTAAATGGTCCCTTATCCACATTCCTTGGCAAGTGTTCATTATCAGACTGTGCTACTTTGTGTTGAGATCATGAGCCATACCCACTACTTCCAGGCTCACAAGATTCAACATTCCCTACGGGAGCCAAGATGATATAACCAAGCCCAGGACCAATGCAAGTTGAATCCCCAGGAGGAAGAGAGGTACAGGAGCTGCATGGTTAAATTATCAGTAAAGCCAGTGACCAGGCAGGGCCTCCACCCACACAGTACTGAAGAATCCTGCCTTCCTCCTCATACAGCTCCTCAGAAGACTTCACTCAACTCCTCACATCAAGGAAGACAAAGAATTCATGCACAGGCCTATCACAGACTGCTTTGTAGAGCACCAGCACTCAAGACAGAAAAGCCAAGTACAGAGCTCATAATTTTGGTAGGTACTATATAAGGTCACTGTCCCTTTTAATGAAGTCTGTTGAATTCAATCAGGCCTATTTAATATAACCTCAAGCACAGTTAACCATAAATGCTAGTCAAGCCCTTAGCCCATAGTCCTACTGGTATTTTCTGGATGCTGTATTCAATATGACTGTTTTCTGTATCCAATCACTTAAGCAATGTGCTCCTGATAAGAGGCAATGCCCTCTGTTTATACCACACTCATCCTCTTGTGCACAAGCTGTGCTCATGTTCTGTGCCTTTAAGTTATTCACATCAGAACTTCTAGATCAAGGGCAAAACCTGCTGAGCTCATTTTCTACATAGTCAACTATGATTTCAGTGGCAAGTGACCTATGTGTCATCTTCATCCTTCAGACTCTGTATCATGTGGCAATTTTAGCTGTTAGCTAATATGTATACTCTTAATATGTAGGCCATCAGTCTAAGATAACTAGATTTTTGCTTTACAATAGAGGCAACAGGCAGGATGTAAAATGTGAATGCTGCAACGAGACAGTTTTGTTGTTTAACATCTTTGCGAGAAATTAGTCAAGATATTTAACTGAAATATGGAAATCAGAACTCAGTAACACAAGAAGGGACCTACTCCATGCAGTATACTGGGTTATTTGTAACAGGTAACTCATGAAAAAAAGGTGCTGCAGATCACAGAGCAGCTACGTTTTGTTCTTAGAGCTTAAGAAGAAGGGCAAGAAAGGCTAACTGCCTGCTGCTGCCAACGTGACACTGTTTTGTTCAAGCTGATTCTAACTGAAAAAATAAAAAAAACATCCAGCAACTCATGAATCACCTCTGTGTCTGGCCTCAATGATCTCAGGTAACTTTTGAGGTCCCCACGTGTCATCAGCTCCATGATAACCAGCGTAGGCTGGCCCTGAGAAACAACACCAAGCAGCCGAACCTGGAAGAGGAAAACCAAGCGTTCAATTACAAATACAGCCACTCAAACCATAGTAATTGTTTGTTCATGTTGACACGTATCCCCAGACACATGTGAACCTGTGTCTGAAAGCAGATTTGGCTCCACTCTGTGACTCCTGTTTAAGAACAATATTATAAAGCTGTGCAGAGTTGAAGCTAAAATCCAAAGTTCCTGTTTCAGGCAGTGAAGACGTGCCCTGAACACGCTCATGCCAGTAACCACCATGGCTGTAGGAATCACAGCCTTGTCACGTTCTCGTGACTTACCACGTGGTGACAATTGAACTCCTTCATCACCGAGGCCTCGTTTAGGAACTCTATCCTCTCACGCATGCTTGCAGACTCATTGACAGTCTTGATGGCCACCCTGGTCTCCGGCTCATCCTTCACCACTCCCTTGGCTATTCCCTCGTACACCATTCCAAAGGAGCCTTGCCCAAGCTCCCGACACATGGTGATCTTCTCACGGGGCACCTCCCATTCGTCTGGAACATACACTATGGAGAGAAGGGAGAGGCGGTGATGTTCCCGTTCTGCAAGTGGTGCGATCACTCACCACTTCACAATGCCAACTGCCCAAACAGTTTTGCTGTAAACAACACCAGACACAATGCTGAGACCGTGCACAATGTATGCACACAGCCCATAGTCTTTCCTATACAGAGATAGGTACATGCCTGGCATACAAGTAAGTCTTAAAGAAATGTGCAGATGGGCTTGAAGGGGCCTCTCTAAAGTACTGGGCATAATGAGACAGAAATAAGGAACCTCAAAGCACAAAACCAGGGTGGGAAGAGGGTTGAATCAATAACTTAGGCTTGAGCTTTTCTTGGGATTCTTGGTTTTCCAGTTCTTCCAGATAGCATCAAACATATTTGATCATCTCTATCACTTCAGTGCCTGCTGTATTCTCTATTAACAGATTGATTTTATGGCTGGAGGGAAACACACTCTCTGATCCAGCAGGCTCTTTGCATGGCACTATTCTGATCACTTGCACACACACGGCTGCACCAGTAAAGGCAGAGCTCGCCGCGGCTGCAGGTCTTTGATCTGAGGCAGAAGAGAGATCTCAGAAGGTGACTGCCAGGAGGGAGGACTGCCTCAGGCAAGAAGACATCTGAGCAGGCACTGATGCTGCTGCCTATCAGTCACCAAAGGAGGGGACACTTGTGTCACATGCTCTGGATGGGTGAAGTGACAGGATGCAAAAATAGAGGGTTATAGCACGAACACTGACAGACCTTTAACTCTAATGTGCTGCTATAAAAAAAGAACAGTGGAAGAGTCTGTTGCCACTCTGGCTAAACCCATTGGCCTCCTGGGGGCTTAGGAAACACCATTCTGGCAAGACGTCTACAGCAGCAGCACCAAACTAAACCATAAACAGAAGAACTGATGCCTCAAGGAAATTCACCTGATGTTCTGCTTTTCCCCTGCACTTGAAGAGCTTCACATGTACATAATCCATACAGTATGGGAACGTGCTCATTACAGACAACCACACCTCTGTGTATGTGTGAGGGGGGGAATAAATGAATTATCTAGCAAGTCGGGTACGAGGGCATGCCCCCCGCACACCACACATCTGACTTCAGAACTATAATTATTTCCCTCTGTTAGCAGAGCACTCAACACAAATATGCCAGCTGGCATCTAAACACTACCACAGTCCAATACCTCTAAATACTGTCATCGCCAAATATATAAATCAGTCACAAATACATTAGACCAACTTGAAACTAGCTTTAAAAAAAATGTTTTGTCAGCTAGAGAAAAATGGACGTATCTACATTCCAGATATTAAAAGAAACAAATATAGACTGCATTAAACATCCCTGCCTATTTTAACACAAAATTTCTGCATGTGGTATGTCTGGAAGTCCGCAATGTTGCTTTTCTCTTTCTGTAACCGTGAAAAGTTGTTGGAGAGTTTTATTGGGATTGGAAGTGAGGAGACGGTACTGGGTTTTTTAAATGTTACTATGTTCCATGTGAGAAGCAGACAGAATCAAGCAAGGGTGTTTGTTCCAACAGGTCAGAATAGGACTTAAAAGGGTAAACATGAAACATAAGGAATTCATTAATTCTTTCTTCATTCTAGCGAAAACATCACTGGATGAGTAGCTGATAATCTGAAAGTGAAACCAATGCATCCAAATTTGCCTCAACTGAATAAACTACAAAAAAATTTCAAAAACTCCCTGGTTTCAATAGACAGGTGACATTTATGTATTATCAATGATAGATTCCACTGCTGTGCTAAAAAAAACAAAGAGAGAAAGCGGTTTTACAACACATCTTTTAGTGGTTCATACCTTTCAAAGTCAGACACAAACAGAATATATGACAGTAAAAGCACCAGAAGTGCATGGCCACACTCACCATCTGAAGCACTGAAGTACTCCGGGTTCACAGAAGCGTAAAGTACTCCATTACCCAGTCTGTCACTGTTCCTGTTGAAATATTTTTTTCTTTTTTTTAATCTTTAAACCTAAGTAAATTTCAGACCACCTCTTCTACAGCTTTTCCACCATTTTCTTAACAACAAAATATTATTTACTGTATATGGGGAGCCTTTTAGACAATGAGGACAAACCCAGTTCTTATTCTACCTCAATAATCAATGGGAAGACAGCCCAGAGCAGCTTTCCCAGGAAACCTGCAGTCTTCTCTGTACCAAATCAGCACCAGAAAAGCGTAAACATGAGGTACTTCTAGCTGCTGGGTTAACTTCTTTTAAGAAAAGCAGCTGTATGGTGATACACCCAGGAGACCCGTGGCTGAGAAGTTCCTCTAACATCACCTGCTCAATTTTCAAAGGCAGGGCATTCTGTAGAATTTGGAAGAAATCAAATTAACCTAAATTGAACTAAGTTTTCATGATTTATATTGAGCCTTATTTCAGTCAAAGCTTCTGATTATATGGGTCCAGTGTGTGCCACCGTTGTCCCAGTGGATGTGCTCCTGACAACCCTTCCTCTTCCCTCCCAGACATGGCACCTTAATAAAAAGCCTCTTCACATCTCAAGCAGCAGCCAGATGCTTGCTGGTAACTCCAAACCAGCTCCTTCTACACCCCGACAACACAGGATCTACTTCAGCTTCTCAAGTCCTCTAATGCCATTTGCTTTTTAATTTCTAACTCGCTCCATGGGCACAGATTTGAAAATAAACATTCCTGCAGTTTTAAGCACAAGCACATACAACTCACCTCTTTTTGTTAAAGACGTACAGCATTATCAGTAAGCCCCCGATGATGAGCAGGAAAGCAATAGGGAGCACAATTATCAAGAGCTGGAAGTTTCCATAGTTTGCTGCTGCAACCAACAAGAAAACACTTGTATCAGGGTCTCTATAAAACCTCCATTAACAAAGAAACATTCAAAACCCACTCAGTGTGTTTCCATACAGGGAAGAAATCAAAGTACTCATTTTCTTGTCTGATGTGGAAAAATGTGCTCAGAAACACTCCCTGCCTGCAGATGAGTGGAACGAGAAAACAGACAGTGAAAAGTATTAATTTTGCACAGAACCGTGTCTGGCTGGGGTTTGTTTTCACAAGTTCTGCTTAAGGACTTGCATTCCTCAGTGAACAAAATGTAATTGTTCACTTGCATATTCAACTTTTCTCCACCTTTTGTTCACGTTGCAATTGCTTATACTTATAGTCAGAATATGCACACACTGCTCTCTACTTCAAGTTCTTCAAAGTCCAGAAAATGAGAAAACAAAAAAGGAACAGAAGATGGAGTTCCAGTTTTCTGTGGATGCCCCTCACGCAGAGGGTCTCTGTGGAAACTATGGTGATATTCTTTCAAAATACTAATGACTCCCATTCTCAGGACCAGCATCACCCTTTCATCAGGATGTTATCTTTATCAAATGTCACTTGGAACAGGTCATATGAAAAAGCATCTTGATATTTCAAGAGAAAAAAAAAAATCTAAACAACATATTTGTTTCTTGTATTACTTTGCAGTTTAAAACAGGTTTGCCTTATTGCTATGTTTTGTACAATCCAACTCCATCTTCTTGTGTGACATTCACTCAGGTACACCTCCTGGTTGTCAGTGCTTGCCAAAAAATGGAACAGAGAGGAGTTTCCAAAGAAGCATCAGCAAATAAGAGGAGTATTCAGACTACAGGCAAGAGGCTCACACACCCCATTACATACACACACATTAGGAATTATTAAAGACAAAAGCCCCCAAGTTTGGCACAGCCAACAAACATTCATCTTACATTTGGGTTGCACATAGAAAAAGACTGGCTCAGTCCATGACCCGTTTCCAGCCAACGAAGTGGCCTGAACTCTAGCAGAATAGTTTCCAGGGTTCAGGTGAGTGAGTTTAGCTCCTCCAAGCTTCTTGTACTGCTGTCTGGAAACACATTCCCGCTTCTCCTAAAAGCAAAAAAGCAATTTACAGTTTATGTTAGCATCTTCATGTTCCTCCATTCCTGAGAAAACAACGTGGCTGCAGGATAAGCTAGTTTGTATAAGTAAAAGCCCCATGTGATCAGTTTCTCTTCAAACACATTGAGGAGATCTGTGGCATTCAAAAACTGTCAAAATAAACAAAACCAGGAGCAGCACGGTGGTTGGTGCTGGTGTTTGAAATCACAGTTTCTATCCTTGGTCTGCATTACTGCACAGACGCATGTTAAGAAAGACCCTTTTTCTGTATAAATTGAAGTTATAAGCAGCAAGTCTTATCAGAGAAACGTTAAACCCTCACCTCTCCATGCTGCACATATTTGATTTCATACATCAGTATCAGCCCATTCGGATTTGCAGGCTCCAACCACTTCAGGTAGACGCTATTTTCTTCCTTTGCTTCCCACGCTACTGTTCCTGGAATGTTATCTGCTCCCTCTGTAAAATATTTACAAGCGATGTCAGAAGACGACCCGTAACTGTAACAGGAACTTACGCAACAACTGAGGAAAGACAAGGTTCGTACTATTCTTTGGGTATCAAAGCACTGCAGTAAGTGCTGTTCAAAGATCCAGTGAACAAAATGCGCGACGTGTACAGCTATGGACTCCCTGTTAGTCGCTGTGCTCTATCCATGTGCCTATAAACCTGCTCATCAGCATCTGGGTTCTTCCTTCCAAACTTTCCACTGCACCACAAAGGCGCAGACACAGCGAGTCTCACCAAACGCCTGTGAACACACAAGACCTGCCCCACTGACGGCCCTTTCCTAAAGCATCCAGTCTTAGAAATCTGTCGCAGTTTAAAATGGCCTCTCAGCAGCAGTTCAGGAATCGCTTTGTCCCCATTTCATTCTTGGTAACTTCATGTGTTTTGTTCAAAACCTAACAGGAACATGAAGACCATTTCAGCCAAAGAAAAAAGGCGATTTTTTCAAAAATACAGTTGTTTGGAAGAAAACAGAACTGTTTAGCCTTTAATTTTCAGAGCCATGCACTAAAAATCTGGGAATGCTTATTTCCTTTTCCCTGACCTCACTCATTTCCTTATTTCCTTGAAATAAGCAATACTTTTTGTGTTTTTACTGACACAGCTGGATCTGGATTATGAGAGTCTTTCCTTCCAGAAACAAAACAAAATTGCTACCATTCTGCATCAAATATTCCCAGACATCTGCTGGAGTCAGAAGTTCTTTGCTGGATGCGTATGAGCTTACACTAAAATCATCTCTATTCTTCTCCAGAGAAGTACAATCTGTCAAAGTCCCAAACACGAGGACAGCATTCAGTGCTTCCTACTGAAGTACTCTGGATGCCAGCAATTGGGCACAAAGCAACACAGTGCTCCTCCTGTTTCCAGGCTGGACAAACGCGTGGTCATTCTGTGACAGAAGCAGCATTTGGCAAACATTCCCACCAGCAAAACTCTTAACATCTGCAAACAGTTCAGAGTGAGCACAGCAAAACTAAACATTAGCAGAGAAATGCTGCCCTGTCTCCATTCAGCACACAGGGAATTGAAAAATAAAACCTTTTAACCCAACGTCTGTGGGGCTTCACCTTTATCGCTGGGAAACAGATCCTCTCATGATTATCTCACCACTCAATGCACACACTTCTGTCCAGATCTCAGGGCAGCCCCGACTCACATCACTCAGTTCACACAAGAGATCAGTCAAGGACATTCAGCTACTGTAGGAAAGTTTTATATAGCTCCAATTAACCTTCTTGCATACAATTTTTTTATTATACCCCAATGTTTTTCTATCTGTTTCTGGAGAGTTTGTCCTCCCTGAGATTTCACTCTCTCCAAAAAATAAAACCAGAATTTTATGCTTGTGAGAGCATACCTGAAGGCATGGTTCTTGCAAAGACAAAGTTGGAAGCGCTACAACCAAGCGTGTCAGCTTCGTGGTTGCAGCTGTGAATATCGATGCGGTAAAGAGTAAAAGGCTGGAGATGGGAGATCACAGTCCTCTCCTTGCCATCCACTTTGGTCTCAAAGAAGGGGTATTCCACCTCACTCTCCTCTGCGTCAGAGGCGTTGGTGAAGTGATCCGTCCCCGTCGCGTTCCTGTTTCGAGTGGCCAAAGTGGCGTTGGCGATTCGGAACACGTCCCTCCGCTTCCGATCAGGTCTGTGGAGCAAACAGACAAGGCTCTTTACAACAGAAAAGGTCTCTTAGTGAAACACCACTTTTCCTCCAGTGCCGTGCAAAAAACCCCAGTAAAATACGTAACTCTGCTAGTAAAATAAGGTAAATAAAGGAAACTGCAAAACAGGACGAAAGCTCTCTCTCAATCCGAACCTGCAGCATGTCAGCACATCCTACTGCTCTCGCTTCTGGTCAGAAACCAGTCAAAACTCGCACTGCGCCCCAAGATGAACGTGCAAACTTCTGACCTCATACAATAAACTGGATAGCAAAAATGGCCTCATTGTTATTCAATAAGCAACCCAGATTTGTCTTTAATGACAGTTATGTTGACGCTTAAAATAAAAATCAGATGTTAAAGGTTGAAAAGGTTAGGGAAGAAAACTGTTTTGAAGCTTGCTGGATTAGCAAAGCTGACTCTCAGTAGACCTAACTTCACAGCTGCAATAAAGTTACAGAACTTTGAATGTTTTGCACTGAGAGAAGAAACCCTGGAAGGTGCCTGCAAACCATGAATGTGAACCACCACTCATGTGTGGTGATCCGAGGATTTCTACTTCTCTCACCCAAACAACAGCTCTGCAAAGGAACAATGAGAAAACACAGCACTGATATTGTGGATAGCAAAGAGTTCAGCGAGGAACTCTGTGGAGCCTTACAGGCATCTGCATGAAGTTTATGCAGAGCTAAAAACTTGAGGATTTACAGCAACACTACCACTGTCTCTGGTCTAAGAAACCGCTGCAGTGGACAGGTCTGAGTATCAGTACAAGCATCAAAATGAACATGCTCCTATAACCGTGTGGATGGTATCAGCTCACCAACACACGACTGCTACCTGTTAGACTTGTCACTTGGTCTTGGGTCAGAGAAGAGAAAGCAACACAAAACTTGTTGGTGAAAACTACAGTCGTATCAGAAAAAGGAAAAGACCTGCAGGATAACTGCAAGGCAAACATGATTAAAACATCAAGAGATTTGACACCATTGCTTTTCTGTCAAGCAGCTTCCTGCTTTCATGAAAGGCACAGATAAAGACAAAAAACCAGGCATCCAAGGAAAAGTCTAGAGACAAAAACATGAAAATTCATCTATTCTGTTAAATGAGAGGAAAGAAGAGAAACAAAAGAGAAAAATTAGAAAACAACACTAAATAAAATCAATTTGGAATTAAAAAAGAAAAAAATGTGGGTAATTCAAGATGAAAGCTGTCTGTCCCATATTTATGGCAACTTTAATGTTACTTCTCAGACATCATCTACTCCACACAGAGCCCCTGCCTCACCCTGCTCATCACAGAACCAGAAAACCTGAAGAATACCTCATCCTCCTGTGGCCGTGTCTCCTCAAGACTAAGCCTAGTCCTGATGTCTGACATCTACCTCACCGCTGCAGTAACACACATGGGGTCATCCAGAAGCTGCACACAAGATCAGATCAACAGGCTTTTCAAGCAACCTTAGAACCACCCAGTCAAATATTTTCACGCTGTATTACACGCTGCATCTCTTTCATAATATCCTGGAGACGGGCAGAACGCTGGAAACAACTACTACTATTGTGGCTTGCATTAACACATTAATTAACTTCTCCCTTGGGAAAGAGGGAAAAAAAAAAGACATCAGCAAGTAATGAGCTGCTTAGATTTGTCCTATGGAGACCTCTCACTAGCTCATAATCTTTAATTTCCCTGACATACAGTCTCTTTAAAGTCGCTTACTATGCAGCTATTTCTGAGCGTTGCACCTTATCTACCCTTGCTGTTACCAAACACACTCTTATGACAGTAAGTTAAGAAAAATGGCAAACGGTCACACTTTCAGGAAATGCTGTGTGAACTGGACAGTTTATTTGTTACCATCCAAGTTCAAGGTTCTGTGAGTTTCCTTTGGGAGCAGACAAATGCAAGAAAATCTGGGAGAAGATAATGCATTTTAAATGACACAGCTTTAGTGAAATAAAAAAATCTTTTATAATAGACTTTCAAGTAGTTTAGACCTGACACGTGTCTTTTAAAACCTTCGTAAGGTCCAAAATGAGATCCCGTTTACAAGATGTCACACGGCTCCGGAATCACATCCTGGCCACTCATGGTGGCTGTTACTTCTCTGTACCTCATCCTTGCATCACACCGCACAAGTGGTATATGTGACTCAGACACAGCTCAGATACAATACTCCGCACTTCCAAAGAGGCAGTATTTAGTTCCTCGTTTTTTGAACAAAGCTAAGCAGCTCTGCATACATCACAGTCCCAACCTCAAACAAGTCAATCCAACACATCCTTGAATAAAGGTCCAAAAAACCACAACAGAGAGTGAAATAAACCAGTTTTAATGAGCAGCAAAGCCACACCTTAGAGTTCTCAAGCACAGGACTTGAAATCTGATTGCTTACAGACTGTAACATAACAACTCTACAGTGTGTGCTAGGCCCCAGGATCCAATTACCTGAAGTAACAACAGCTTACATGAAGGGCAAGCTGGAACCTCAAGGATCAAAATCACCAATTAATTCAGTAGTATCTACTCTATGGTGCAGCATAAAATCGCTACTATTCCACTTCATGTGTAAGTGGCAGTGTTTATCACGGGAGAGCGGGCGTATTTAATACTCCTCTGCAGCACAGACCCAGGAAACCAATGTGCACTTTGCAATCAGTGCAGTGACAAAGGAAGACCAGTTTCTTCGAGGTGACTATGCCCTCAATTTCAAAGGCAAATAAATCTTCAGATTAGGAACACAAGCACTTCAATGGCTATTTAGAGAAAGATCACATCTGAAAGCCTTTGTCTGCCACATGTTGCTCATCTCCAAAACCCTTCTAGACAAAGAGCTCCTCAAGTGACTCTTGACTCTGAAAAGAAACCATCACTCAAGTCCTTGAGCAACATTGGTAAGAACCCTTACGATTACCTAAAATCGAGAGAAAGAGATGAAAACAAGTGACTAAGAAAAACTGGCTATGGATTTTCTCATAAAAAGAAAGGCAATGTTTCAGCTGTTACCTACATATGCTTTTCTGTCCAGGAAGCCTGAGCTCTAGAAAATGTTAAAAACCGAGATCATTAGCCCCACTTGCAAAGAGAAAGTATCCAAAATCCATTACCTGGGGACAAAGATGGAGTTGTGAAGGAAGTTCTCAAAGACTTTCCGGTACTCTGCTTCCTCCTTCTCAGCTTGCTTTTCTGCCTCTGTCTTGGGACAAGCACAGCAAGGTCCTTTTTCTCCCCCGCAGCCCTCTGGCTTGGTGGGTTCAGTAGCTTCTTCTGTATCAATGGTCCCATCAGCGTATCTTCGAATTGGGACTTTATCTTAAAAGAACAGAGGCAGCTTGTTTCTTTTCTCTTCATGTTATGAATACAGCAACAATCCACATCTACCCGTTCCCTTCTACTTGCTGTTATTACAAAAGAGTTGTGAAGCAGGGCATGGGCACTGCCAGGTAAGAGTCATGGGCATTTCAACACAACTACGTTTCGTTTTCCTACCTTTGGAGCAGTAATTGTGCCTGTAAAGGTAACTGTCCTGAGGTTGCTGCTGCCATCGCACGATGTAGTACGAGAGGTTGCCATTGGGAAGAGAGGGAGGATTCCATTTCACAATCAGTTGGGATGAGGAGTTGGATGCTGAAATAACATCCAAGGGAATGGATGGCACTGGAGGGGAAGAAAGGAAAAAGTAAGGCATTTAAATCTGGAGCGTTCTACAATGTATTTCGATGCAAGCTTTTGAAGTGAATCCCAATCCATTTCTATACCGCAACAAAAATCACCGTCCTATTTCAAAGAAAAGATTTCCTACTTATGCCCCACTACTAACGGTTATTACGGGTTCAACTGCAACCACCCACAGTCCCGATCTGAAGTTGTACTTAAATTCTGAAATCCTAACTCCGAGAAACTCCTAATGAAAACAATGCTTGAACAACCACAGAGTTTTAACTCAAATTTTAACGCTGCTTCCGTAATTACTGAAACCTTCTAGCATTATGTACATCACCTGCACATAAACTCAACTTCTGTACTAGCAACAGAACTGGCCAAGTAATTTAATAAGCATATTTGCAGCGTTATCAACCTCCTACCCAGGAGCCCAGGATCTCACCTGCAGCATTGGTTCGTATATACACAATTTCACTTTTAGCTCCATGAATGTGATGGTTTTCCATCATGGTGAGGGTGACAGCCTTGACGTAAATGGCGTATTGAGTCCAAGGTTTCAGTCCCTGCAGCAAAATTCCAGGATTGTTCTCTTTGTTCGGTGGCAGGTCAACGTCGACCATGTTCCAGCTGTTGGAGCCACACGCATCTTGCCCATCGTACTCTGTCACGTTTTTGAAAGGTCTGAAATATTAAAAGAAAAAATAGCACAAAATATTTATTTTCTCCTTAAAAATGTCTTCTATTTGAGAGTGTTTCACTTCAGTGATGCTCAATGAAATAAAGAGAGAAGCTTTAGTTAAGCATATATGAAACAGAAGCAACTCAAAACAGTTCTTGATAGTGGCTGAGCTTTTTACTATAAAGAACCTAAGCTTCCATGACTGGCCTTGACCAGTCCAACAGATTTTTCCCCCTTCTATTTCCACACAATACAAACACATTTACATAGTCACATAGTTCTACTTTTCATAAGTTGTAACACTGGCACAAGGGCATATAAAGAATTATTGTTGTTATTAATTACTATAGACTCATCAGCACTGAGTTTATTGCAGCATAGGACACCGTCACAGTGGTTTGCTTTGTTCAAGTGATGCTGGACATCAAAAATTTGTGCTTCTGTGCCTCACAGCCTTGCTCCCTTTGTCATTACTGGCCTTTTGAGCCTCTCTTCCACACTCCAAACTGCCTGGAGAGTTATTAGTGTGCTCATTTGCATTTCTAACTATTTTAAACCTGAGGCACTGGAAGGACATGCAATGGCAGAGACACCTCCCAAGAAATGAGGATTTCTCCAGCAACTGCCCCATTTGTTCATTATCAAGAGAAATTAATGCAGAAAATTACCAAAGCCAGACAATCTAAATAACCCCAAACCTTGAGTAGACAAGGCATCAAGGAGATGGGGCAAACTCCTGATGTGTGATGCTCTCTAGTTGGTACTACGACTGGAGAAGGAAAAGATCTCGGTAAACATGACGAGACTTACAAAGAGTTTCAAATTAGACCCCAAGAACAGCCAAGCCATCCATCTCTTTTCTTCAAATTTGCAACTTCCTGATAGATTTGGGATCTGTCTGTAGGCTTCACACAAAACACTCCTCTTTCTACAGCGGTTTGTGCTCCACCAACAAAAGAATTGGAACAAAAGCTGGACTCAAGGATGAAATATGTGAACTGGATGAGATGTGTAAACTGCACGAAATAGGAACTACCCCAACGACTTTGCTAACTTTTCTCGCTAGTAAACCAAAAGTCAGAACAGAATTGTCTGCTGTCTCTTGGACTGACCCGATTGGCCTCTGACGACATCTACTTACGCTTCTTTGTAGTAAACAGTGAAGCTAATGAGATCTCTGTAATCCGGAGGGCGATACCGTTCCCATGTTAGTTTAATCCGATTCTTGAGTGTAGTGTTGGAAACAAAACGCAGAATGTGGCTTTCACCTGCAATATAAAGAGATAAGATATGACAGAGTTAGCATCACATTGCCAATTAGTTTTTGCTGTTTCCTAGGTATCAGTTTTAGCTAATTAGCCCTTCCAGTAGTGTCTATGATACCAACAGCCTTCGCCTCTGCAGAGCTTCCTGTTTCATTGTACTACATTTGAATGCTTAGAGGTAAGCACTGACCTTGGCAATCACTGCAGAATATGTTGAAGCTACTTGGTATTATTTTTTTCTGAAGCAGATTTTCTTCTAATGCGTCATCAGAAAGCTCTTGAAAACTACTTCAGACTCGCCCTGAGCAAGGACTGGAAGTCCTGTTTATTCACAGGACTGGTTTAGAAGCACTAAATTCATCATCCAACGCCAGTGCGTGTGCAGAGCAGTAACTGGCCTGTGTTCTCACTTTCCAGGACAACTGGAACTTTGACAACTACGATTTATTTTTCCGGGGAACGGACAAATGAGTTTTCAAACCCATTCACAAGAGGCTGGACCAAGAACTCCAAAACTCAGCTCATATACAGCACAACCATTTGATGGCAGCAGCTTCCAGCTCCTCTTCTGAACAGAGCTGGATGGGAGCCGGCAGCTTTGAAATGAACAGCTTCCCACTACCAGCTCCCTGAGATCTCCAATCCAAAACAAAATCGCGTTTTAAAAACTTAATTCTTGGGTGAAGAAAATGTGTTCTAAGTGTCAACTGTGAGCTCGCTTCTAATGCTCCATAGACGTCTCTGAAAATAAAGGGGTTTTCACCCTCATGTACACTGGCACTATTGGTGCTATCTTTTCAAAGGCAGTTGAGCTTTTGTTGATTCTTTTCCCCTTCTCCGAGTCAGAAAGCTTTCTGTAATGGTTTTTAAAAAAAGCAGGCAGCGGCTGGCACTAGCCTCAGTGGTAGTAAGGACTGGCTGTGTGTCTGTAACTCCTCCAGGACTGCGAGCCTTTGCTCTATTGAATGTGCAAAGAAAGGAGCGTGCCTAGAACAAGGATCTGTGCCATCTGCATTTCTGCATCACGCCTAAAGAGACATTCAGCAGAGTACGTGTCCCAGTTTTGTAAACACCATCCAGAACAAGGGGACTTGACTTACACACAAGATCTATTTTAATTTACTCGGCTCCAAGAACACCACAAATAGACCAAAGAAAAATGCATTGCCAGTTCTACGAGTTTGAGTATGAGGTCAAATTTGTAAGCACTCTGTCGTCTTATTTCCTAGATGAGACACTGCTCTAAGATGTGCTAGTGACACCTGAGGTGAAGACCACTGAAGACAAAAGAGGACTTTGCAACAACTGTGATCATTGCAGAATCCAAAATTAAATGCAGATACTGCAGCTTAGGAATATTATACATCACTAAACAGTGTTCTCAACTGAAAAGCAAGATTTGAAAATAAAGCACAGAAAGCTGAGTTTACAACAAACACTTTCAGCAACACGGTACCATATTTGGCAGGAGGTGAAAATAAGCTTGAACATAACAGAAACAGTTTTGGTGTCTATGGAATTATTATTCAGCAGCCTCCTTATTATCAAGAAAGAGTAGATATCTGAGACAGGAAAACACCTATAATGATGTACACGTGCAAAGGAAACAGAGAAGCCGCTCCTAGTTGGATATACCAAAATACTAGATTTATTTCTCATTTCCCAGGTATGTTCCTGTTGCTGTATGATGTTGCTGTCACAAAAAAGTGTGTTTGGAAAGCAGCTGTCTTCATCAAATGGTTTTTACAGATGAGATAGAGACTGTGTAACCTCATCATTTGTCACGCATGTGAACAAACTTCCACAGCTACACTTAAAAAACGGAACAAGTCGAGTGACTGAAAGGCTACTGTAATTTCTGAACTCTAAATACTGCAATGGTCAGCAACGTGGCAGCGCATTGGTTTTTTGTGACACCCTCTTACGCAGTTTGCCTTGAGGTTGTTTTGTTTGTGCACTTACAAGAGGCTCTCTCCCCATTGTTCCTTGGATTTATGTCTCCTTTGCTCTGTCGTCCCTTGGTTCCCGAGACTTCCTCCATTCGGTAAATCTCAGAAACACACAGCTTGGGATTAAACGCAAAGTACATTTTCCCCTCCTTGATCGTCAAGTTATGATGGTTCCAGTCCCACAGCTGCTGCAGATTGTGGTTGTCAAGCACGTAGAAGGAATAATTCCTACAAGGAAATTTTTGAAGGAAAAATATTAGTTTTAATTCGTAGCCAATTCCAACCAAGTATACCTTAACATAAGCAAACTTTAAAACACGCTGTTTCCTCTTATTACTTTAAATTGGTGTTCAGCAGCGTAAAGGATTTTCTTCTCTCCCATGGAGCAAGTTTTCCCTGGATGCTCACTCTGGTCAGAGGACAGGGAAATGACTGTAACACAGCACTCCAGGGCTGATACCACACCAACATGTGTTTTAATAATGTTATAGAAGCTGCTATGAGCAATATAAATTCATGTCTCTGAACAGCAGGTTTCTACACTGGATTTTCCATTATGTGGCAAACGGGAAGCAATAACCTTACATATCTTATGGGAGGAAAAGCACAGTGCAGCTCTGACAACAAAATACAATCGTCAACACAGCTGTCTTGCTTTTGTTTACAACAGCCTCTCTGAGAGTTTGCATAGTGAGGCTTCTTTGCCTCTGTCTTAGTTTACCTCTTGGCCCAGGAAAGATTTCCTACCCTGTGCCAAGTGCAGCCGCGCCCATACATCAAAACCTGACAGTGAACAGTTGCACCGAGTGCGCGGCGCAGGAGCCTCGCTTCAAAGTGCAGAACTCACACCACAGGCGGCAGCGAGTGCTGAGCCCGCTCCCCAAGCACAGCAGTGGAATAACATCAACATCCTCTATCTCCACAGATAATACATTGAAAACTGTGTGTTTAAATCCTGTTAGGTACAAAGAAGAAATTCCTGGTACCACTCGATTGTGATAAACTGGGGAAAAAAACCCTGTCTATGTAGCAAAAGCAAGTTTATAGACTCTACAGCAGCAGCAAGACAATACCTGGAAAGACACATTTTGGGATAGTAGCAACAGGAATGCACGATGAGTTAAGGTCTGTGCAGCTGATGAACCTAGATCAGACCAACCCATCATGGCAGCATTTATTATGCTCCTCTGTGGAAAACCCCACCAGCACTAAATACATCAACATAAAATCCATTACTGACACAAAGCCTTGTAACTTCTGCAAGCCCTTTTGCATTGGTAAGCCCCTGTCAATGCAGTTAAACCAGGCTTTCTACACATGCTTTTCACTACAGAGTTTCTTGTAACACACCAAAATGCCGAGTGTATTTTCAGAACAATGTGAAAAAGAAGTGGTTTCTCCTATTTCCAACTATCCCCTAATTATCCAGAGCTCGACTGCTAATGAAGCCGATATACCTGGTACCCCTTCAGAAGATCACTGAGAAGAATGTGCTGTGTTGACAAGGGAGCACATACATATTTGTGCTTTAAATGCATCTTGCCAGCAGAGAACAAGGATGCTCAACTGCATGTGGGATCTGACAGACATCACCAAACCCCATGTTTATTTGAGACACATATTACTCTGTTACAGATGACTAAAATCCCTGCAGCTCCCTGTGCACTGCTGAAAAGATGGCACTTCGTCATCATTAGCCACGTGATTAAGCGATGGCAGCAAAGCTTTTCAGGAAAGATCCAAAAAGCTGGACGCAGATTGAGCACGATAAACAGAGGTGTGGCTCCACAACTATAGAAACCATCTTAAATATTTAATAACAGCCTAGCCCATCTCCTGCTCCCAGCTGTGGCAATCACGCTTTAGACACTAGAGATAATTCATGTATTAAAGCAACGTGGCTGAGCTTTCAGGAGTGTGAATAAATTAGGCAAATCAAGCACACACCGGTGCTTTACACAACTGCAGAGTGACTGGGCCAGAGCTGGGAGCTACTGTGGCTCACAGGTTAAAGCCATCTGCACAAGCATGAGCAGCCGTCTGAGGCAAACAGGTCCTAAGGGTGCACACATACACTGAAAGTATAAATTAATGGAAGTTATTCTAGCACCACTCAGAGCACCATGCAAAGCACAACTGGAGGGCTCTATACAGCTGCTGTCACAGAAGAGGTGCGGTGCTGCATGGCTTGAAAGGTGGAGCAGGGGCAACCAAAGTGCACTTAGAGCTTAGGTTATAAATAAAGTTATAAATAAAGATTGTATCAGACTTTGGCTCTAACAGCTGTGGAAAAAATCAGGATGCCAAGGAAGATTTCATGGAAAGAATAAAAGATTCACTGTAGGAAAACAAAGCACTGCCAATCAAACCCTGGAGACAGTGACTAAGGGAATGACTGGAGATTATGGCCTGAAGGACAGGCTAAACATCTGAGCAGGAGTAGGAGGCACATCTGGTCCCAGGCCTGCCATAAAAAGCCTCAAGGCGACCTCTATAACCCATGCACGCCCACAGGAGAGAATTCCCACACGATGTGTATCCTCAACTGCACAGCACCCACAGCCACTTAATTATTGACTGCATACATTAAAAACCTGCTGCACTCTCTATCTGCACGCAATGCTCTATCTGTGCACGCTCACCCACTGTACAGCTATGAGGGAGAACACGAGATCCAAACCAAAAGGAGATGGGGGTGATGGAAACATCTCCACAAGCTTTTAATCACCCTTCACCCCCTCCATTACAGGGTACAAAAAGCTCCTGAAAGGGGTAGTGACCAGCTGCATACACTGTTAATAAAAAAGCAATGCATGATCCATAAAAGCAAGTGACTTGCTCCAAAATGGGAATGAGAACTGGCAGAGGACTGGGAATGAGAATGGTGGATGAGTTGGCTACAGAAGATGACCAGGCAGCAGAGGTTTATGGCAAGACAAGCAGCCCTGTAGGACATGCAGAATAGAAGATGTTCATCTCTCAGTGCTACAACAATAAGAAAGGCAGAAAATCCCACTAGGCCAAATAGCTGGGACATTAACCAGACAGGAGAAAAGGAAAACCCTTACTCCTTTACATAAACAAAACATGCCATGCAGTGGCTAGAAACTGTCTATTAACATGGTATATGTTCTATATCTGTATCACAGCGTGACCCTGATCCCCGATGAGGGCCTGACAACAACAGAGTCAAACATCTATAGCACAGCACCACAACAGAGACCACCACTCCAGACAACTGACAAAACGCTCCATTCAGTGGTCCCTCTCCAAATAGGTTTGTACTTCAGCATGTATCTACAGGCCTGAACTTTATCAAATTCCCAAAACTGTTCTATACCTGTATCACAGCGTGACCCTGATCCCTGATGAGGGCCTGACAACAGAGTCAAACATCTATAGCACAGCACCACAACAGAGATCACCACTGCAGACAACTGACAAAATGCTCCATTCAGTGGTCCCTCTCCAAATAGGTTTGTACTTCAGCATGTCTCTACAGGCCTGAACTTTATCAAATTCCCAAAACACTGCTCATGTTTAAATACTGCTGGTATACTCTTTGGCTTGTTGTCATGGTTTAGGTGTTTCCTTACCAGCGCTTCACACAGAACCACTGAGGCTGTTAACAGAGTATCTGTCTCTAACAGATACTTGCTAATGTACACAACATGTACACATCTTGCTAATGTAAACTGTAATCAACTTAGAAACAACTGGTTTGGCCAAGAATTGCACCTCCACAGGCAAATACCTGGGTAGGAAACTAGGGGCTCTTATACTAAGCCATGGATTTGCAAGTAATGCACCTTACCCCATAGCAACGTTCAGTGTTTACTTGTCTGGTTTGACAAAGTGAACTAATGAGCTTCTTAAAACCCCACACAAACCCAGCCTCGCTCCTCAGTGTGCGAACTCCCAAACACACTTTTAAAAACTTCACTTACACATGGATGGCTGAGAAACTGTGTCTTTGGAGACTCCCCTTACACAGCATCGAAGCCCAGGAGCACTCCCCCACGGGAGCCTGTCCCTGCAGACACGCTCACCAGCCGTGTTTACCACCAGCCCCAAGGGCGTTACTCGTTCCTAAAACGCTCTCACACACGGGGTGACCGCTTTGTTGAAATGCTGTGGCTAGAACAGCCCTTGCTGCTATCACACTGACTGTCTGAATTCAACATAATCTGACAATAACCATCTCAGGAAAACAAGCAGTCTTCAGCCATCCAACAGCCAGAGATCCTGTTCACACCTTCCAACAAGCCTGACAGTCACTGATGCCTCTGCTTCAAAATGATGTAGAAAGCAGGGAGGGGTGGTTTCACTTTTATACAGACTGTCCCCAATTTGCTACAACGTTGAAACATAAGGAGAACAGTTGGTCAGGAGCTCTGTCTCAGCCATCTCTCCTCGCTTGCTCCTGAAGGCCACAAATTGCTCCTTTTCCAGACGACCAAGCTGGAGATGCTCTGAGAGGCGCTGTCTGTGTGTCATCCATCCACACCACAGCTGCAGTCAAGGACAGCAGCAAACATGCAGAAACCAGGCAGGGGACAGAGAGGCCTGGTAGAGCAAACACCAGACCAGGAATCAAAATCCCGCAACAGACACTGAGACCCCTCCAGCCCATTTCAGCTTTCCTATCTGCAAAGAGAAATTTGTTTCTTGCCGTAGAAGCACGTTTGCTATGGACATGGTGCTCAAAAGAGGCAATGAATAGTCTGAAAACAAAGTGAATTCCCTCTCAACTTTCTGCGATAACCAAGGCAGGCACTGGCAACCAAGCAAGGAAGCAAGAAATACTGAGGTACTGTTTTGTTCGTCCGGTTCAATAGAAAAGGGACGGTGGTTGTGGGGTTGGTTGTGTAATGAACAACTACCATAATGGATGTGAAGTTAAGCTCCCTCTCACCCCCCAAGGCAATGCTGGCGTAAACAGCTTTTGTTCCAGCACTTCCCAGGTTAAGACCCCACTCCCTGTTGTTCATAGCTCTGCCAAAGCAATTGTTCAGGCTCAGTTCTCCCTTGCCAGCTGCCTACTTCCATCTAAGTATCTTTGGAAACATTTAGACTGTGGTAATGCCTAAATCATGCTACGCATTTTCCAAGCAAAGAGACCTTTCCTGACCCAAAGTACGTAACTGCAGTCATCTCCTCGCATGGGTGAATTTTAGCACAAGTAGCTCTTCACTATAGATCTATTTTACTTCCCCCATTCAGCCCCATTTTCCTCTTCAAAGCTGCACCATTTACTTCTCTACTTGGAAATCTGATTTAAAAACCTGCCATTTCCCTTCATGTTAGCTCTGCTTGCTGACATACAAGGTACCATAAACATAATTACTACTTGAAACACAACGCTAAACTCAAATTTAAAGAGAGCAAGGGAGAGAAGAAATCGATAATTGGAGTACCTGCGAGAGCACACCACATCGTAAGTGGGCCTGAATGAGCCTTGTGCTCCGCAAAGCGACAAGCCTCTAGGATTTGCAATTAGAAACGTGCTTTTCCGTAGAGCCAGTGCTCTTACTGGAAAAGACAGCGTGCTTTTTTGAGTGCAGGATGAAGAGCTGCCCTTTAACTCGCTCTGTCAGATGGTGGAATTTTAAGAATTTAAGGTTGACCAAAGAGTAGCCCGAGAGAAAGGGGGAGGTTGTGAAGAATCCCTCATGCTGTAACTTTATCTTGTTGGGGCAGATAAATCAGACACAAGCAACCTTTCCCATGACCCTCCCACTACCTTTTCTTACATGATTTCCCCAAATTCTTTATTTAATAGCTCTGTCATTACTGAGGGAGACTTATTTCTCGCAGGGAATACTGGATTAAACTTGGGATAGATACTTGATTCAGGAACAGAAATAGCAAGGCAGTTTGCTGAAGGACCATAAGCCCACCTCAGCACTTGAAAGTTCAGTGGCTTGGCTATGTCTTACCATCATAGGAAAATACAAGTTATACACAGCAAAAACTATCACACATTGTGTAATTATATACATTACAGAAGCAATATAACCCACAGAAAACATTTCAGGAGATTAGTTTTAACTTTTCCTGACCAGTCCTTTTTCTGCTCGACAGGTAATTGATTTAATGTTAGTATTTCAAGGAGTTGCAAGCAATTGCTACCTGCAAACAATTTCATACTAGTTGGGTCATTTCCAGTCGCACTCCCTGGTTACCAAAGGTTCAGGTTTCCCTTCAGCTGACATTCTCCACAAAACTCTGCTAAAAGCCAATAGCAAAGAACTGCAAGGAAATCCAATTGGTTCTGAACACGTTCTTTTCTCAATAAAATAGAGCAAAAAAGAACTAATGAAGACACTTTATCAATGTAAACAGTCCCCCCTAGATAATCCTGAAGCGAAAAGCAACAGCAAAGTTGCCATAAAAATACTTCCAATACACTTGATTTTATACGTTGATTTGGATAGCAATCCAAATGAGTGATGACGGTGCAATGCTGTTCGTTAGGAGAAAAACACTGCCTATCAGTGGAGAAGAGTCTGTAAGTGGTACATGAATGTTTATTAGGAGACTTATTCTCGGTGGCTTTCTACTAAAGTGAAACTGCATCTACAAATATCTGAACACTTACCCGTCCACCTGTTCCTCTCCCAGAATATACCGCAGGTTCTTCAGGAAAGACAGGGAGACTAACGCATGGGAATGGCGAATCTTCACGTACCCTGTCACTGTCTCAATCAGACCCATAAAATTCTCCAGCTCTGAGGCAATGTTATCTACAGTAAGAAAAATGTGATTTTATTATTGCAGAATTCATAGCTTTGACTGCTATTCTGCTTAATGCAGTAATAGGTCAGTAAAAGAAAATGTTTATATTTGTTGCATGTGAAAATGAGAGACACTGGTATTCCACCCCCAGTAACAGTTGCCTGTGTGGACAGATGGTTGAAGGGCAAAATAAAGCCACAGAGCAACAGTGGAAAACCAGTCTTGCTTTTCCATATTGGTATAATCTGCTTTTTCCATGGGCATTGCACTCTGAAGCCAGCACCAAATGGTGAGCCAGCATTCTGGCAGGGATGAAAAGACCCTTGTGTAAATGTACACATCCATGAGAATTGCCCTTCAGCTACAGAGCAAAGCTCAGGCAAAAAACTGGAGAAACAGAGAATGAGACTGAAGATACGCTACTGGTCTTCTCTGGGGCATAAAGCATGGCTTTCAGTGACCTAAAAAGCTTTGGCTACAAAACGAGAACTGTTGATGCAACAGCGAAGATAAAACCATAAGGACGTCCTCATCCCATGGAGTGTGTTCCACATAGCTTGCCAAAGGTGATTTTCTATAATAAATTATTAAAACAACCGCAGAGCACACTCTGCTCTTCAGTATTGTCCCCTCCCTAGGAACCGTACTGTCCCTGCCCAGGTCTGCAACACCCCATCCTTCACCAGGCTCCAGCTTTGCAGTCCTTACCTCCAGCCACCCCTGGCCCATGCCCACTGCCTGGTGTCACTGTCCTGTGAAGTTGTGAGGGGAGGTTTTTAAGCACTTGGGATGGGAGAAGTTGCTATGGGGTGTGTGTGCTGCCATGAACAAACTGGAATCCTGACAGATGGCTGGGAAGCACAATTACCAATTACGGGTTGGTTCCCATATCAAATAAACTGGGAAGAATCAGATGCTCTTCAGCAATCTAAGATAATACTTACAAATAAAAATCCCCTCACTTTCCCTGGGTAACTGGAACACCTCCCATATGGGAAGACTGTACCAGCAGCAGTGGGACTGTGAGTAAAATAATCCACATGCTGCTCTTTCTAAACCCTGAAGTTTTCATTCAGCAG